TGACAGACTCCTTAGGGGTACAGAAACCAAGAATCTTGCCATCAAGCATGACAACGACATTCTCATCAGTCGAAGCCGAGGAAACGTCAACAATTCCAAGCTCCTGAGCGAGAGAAGCAATATGAGACACATCGACGTAGTCAGTCATGATCTTACACTTGTGCGCAAGATGGTTAAGAAGACCACAAGGAGCACCATCAGGAGTATGAACGGGACACATAAAGCCCCACGACTCTGGGAGCAGCTTTCGAACAGCCGTTGTCTTCAGTTGGGCGAAGAAGGCACCACGATGTACCATGCGGAAATGACTGATGAAACGCAAGAAGTTGAGCTTCTCAGCCACAACTGTGAAACCGGCTGTTTGTTGCAAATCGAGACCCGATGCACTCTGCAAGTTACCCGTTGACAAGAAATATTCTAGGGCATTTCCTAGGTTCTCGTTGGCCTTGCGGAAAATGTTATTGGGGAATTCCTTGCGGAAGTCCTCGGAGGTGAAGGCAACGCCAGGGTTTCTTCGAAGGTAATCACGCAAAGATGCTCGAACGTTGACGCTGAGGAACTCATCGAGTCTTTCCTTGAGGATCTGTCCATACAAGAAACCACCAAGCAAGATCTCCTGGTTCTGGACGGCATCGGGGTTGTCGACAGCACACTCACCAGCGACAAGCGCATAAAGCTTTCGGATCATGAAGAGAAGCAGCTTGAACTTCTCCTTATCCTGCTCCTCAGTAACATCAACATTTCCAAGGTGAACCAAGACAATCCTTCGCAAGAACTCAGTTCCAACCTCAAGGTTGGTCATAGTGTCCGGCACTCCCAGAACAACTCGGAACTTCTCGCCCAGGTATGCTCTCGTATCCGACTTGCTGTAGAGGTTGTATGACTTGTACGTCCGTAGAAGCAGCTCGATTCGGTGGGTCAAGAAGGTGTTCTCAGTTGATTTGGAGCCAGCAGGACCAACCAATCCCTCGAAAATTTCGCGATCATTGGTCTCAACCAATGCCTTAAGGATCATCATGACAGGAACAAGGTATTCGTTCTTGCGCCATGAGAAACGGAAGGTCATGTTTCCGTCGCTGAGGTAGTGGAGGACGTTGGTCTGAGAGGTTTCGTCGGGGCGAACTGCACGGAGAATGATACCGTAGGGAGTGTAACCAGGGCCACGGTTCTGGAAACTAGGTCGGTTGATAGCCATGGGAAAGTTTCGCTTGTTCAACTGCAACATTCGAATGATCTTTTCGATACCGTTCACGATGAAGTATCCTCCAAGCTCCTCAGATTCTTCTTTTCTCTCAACAAGGAGCGCAGGCGAGTTGTTCTCAAGGTGGCATCGATTCGACTGGTATTTGTGAGTAAAGAGCCCCAACAGCAGAAATTGGGATGCAAACCTTGATCATAACAGGCACCTGACCAAATTCTCGAGTAAATTCGACTGGATCGCCGCCATTGATGCGGTACTCAAGAGTAGCTGAGAGCCGTCCTCGATATGTTACATGGCGTTCTCTGCACTCGGCGGGGAAAACCTGACGGTTCCGGGCCATCTTATTGGAAGGGGGCACCTGAGGCTTCTGAAGGAAGACGTCTTTGTATCTAATAGTAAGGCGATTCTTGCCATCTGGCGAAGCGCGATCATCGCCATCGAGGTATGTTCTGGCGCCAATGTCGGCTATACCATGCGCCAGCAGGCCTGGCTTGCCATCGTCGCGAAACAAGCCATTGAAGGACTCGAGATGAGGGTCGACGGCTAATTGGAGGGCAGGATAGGCAGTATGATCCTTGGGAGGGTTTCGGAAGAGATCCTCTCGGCGCAGAGTATGGAACTGGTGATCCCACTCGGTTTCGGTGGCCGAGGGTGCCATGGTGGCTGGTGCTCTAGAGACTGGCTTAGAGCTTCAAGAATGGCGAGACTCGGTGTGATTTCTTCTGAGCGGTAGCAGCAATTCCAAAATAAACAGTAGTGGAGTCAATCGAAGTGGAAGAAAACATCCGCAAAATCTTGCCTGCCGCTGTGAATAATGAGGAGCGGCAAATCTAATCGTAGGACCGCTCGCAATCGCAAAGGAATTGAGGCTATCACAGCGCAGAAAAAAAAAGTTCCCAGCCAGAAAAAAAAGTCAAGCTAAGCTTAGTCATGGCCGTTATCTTATCAGAGGTGGAGTTGAGAGCGAGCGAATGAGGAGCAAGTATCATGGAATGCGGAACGGAGTTCTATCAATCAAACGATGTATTTAGGTGCAACATTTGACTTCGGCCGCATGAGCGGTTAAAACGGTTCATTGCCTTGATAATTTGGGGAGTAATAAGTTTCGAGGTCAGTCAAATGAAACCCCCGCAGTAAATCAACATAGAAAATAGCCTGTCGATGTGATCCTTGCGGAACCAAGCTCTCACAGATGCAGCATCGCGAACGAGAAGATTACATCGTTTCAGGATTTTTAGCTAGAGGCGATAATAAACGAGAATGATGACGAATTATCTACCGTTCCCCAAGTCACAAGGCATGCTTAGCAAAAAAAGTTGGCCCCTTTGTGTTGCCAATCACCGCTTCTAGAGCATGAAGGCCTAAAGCTGGTGCCTGGGGAATATTAGGTACGACGCTGACTGTGTAAGTCGAGGATGGGGGCCAAGGCGAGGTTTACAACTCGAAAGAAGGACAAAACTTGGCTTCCTTGTTAGTGACAAATACACAACTGGAGAGTCCGAAAGTACTGAAGGCCTCTTAGAGTGCACTTTCAGCTACTTATCTCCGGTGGCGCAGAAAGACAAGAGGCAATTAGATAGGTACCTAGACAGACTTGAAGCACGCCAGACACGCCGGAGTGATACTTGGCTGCCACCTCGTCGAGGAATAAGGATGAAGAGACGCACTTGTCTTGCAGCCCAAAAGCGAAAGTTTCCCAATCACTACAAGAATAAGAGCTGGGGTTACAAGCCTTGAATGCGATGCTTGCAGCAACTGCAGCCCAACCTGCATTACAGTACAGTACAGTACAGTACAGTACAGTACAGTACATACATACATACAGGTACCATGCCCAGGGTTGGATGTGAATATGGATGAATGATTGAATCATGGTGCTAGAGATAAACGCTTTGGTGAGACCTCGGTTGGTTCTAACCAACTTCACTTGACCTGCAGGTAAGAGCCTAACACGCTGCACTTGGTCGTGGTCCATCAACTCTCTGTACACCTTCTGGAGAAAAGAGTACTTACACGCTGTAATATTCTTCTCGACTCCCAATTTCTCCTTGAATCATCTCGATGTCAAGGTAACCTCGGGGTCATCAGATATCAAGACTCCGCTACCTAACTGCCGCTGGGCTGGGCTGCGATTTATGTGTGGCTCACCACATACCTGCAACACCTCACTCTCTTGCAGCCTTCAAAACATATACTTGAGCTGAATTATAATACTGCAACAAAGGTTTGTAGTTCGAGGCCGCGGATATCCTTGATCCGTCGTCCAACACCCTGATTCATCGTCCCGTTATCAACGCCTTACGTGTGGCTGTCCGTGGCTGGCGATCAAGGCCAACACTTTGCATGTGTTATTGCAACACAACGTTGAAGCACCCCAAAACGCCCGTATTTGAAACTCCATTACACGATCCAGAGGGAGCTGCATGGCTCAGGAGATCTCTTATCCGCTTCCAAGGCCTATAACCAAAATTTGAGACCAGGTCAGTTGAGTACCTTGAGCAGATCCAGTATTGATCGTCAACGCTGTCACCGTCTACTCTCAAGTCTCAACCCATCGGGTGGGTTTGTTTGCCGGCTCCCGTTCTTTGAAGACCCTGCAGCTAACCTTGAAGCACTTTGACTTTAGGAGGCAAAGTCAAGATAGTAACATCGAACTCAAACGTCTATCTACCAGCCCATCATTCGCCAACTGCTCTGCCTTGCGCAAATGCAAAGACACAGCAGCGTTCATTAGGCGCCCTCACCGAAGCCCTTGACTTGGAGCACTGACGTCGACGCGGTCCTGGTCTCCTTGAGCCCTGCGTGCCCTGGCCGATCATCGCTCCACTCAAGCAAGCTCTCCTCTGCTCAAGCGAATAAAACGCCGCAGCGCCTAGCCCACACTGCTGCCACCTCTGGCTGGACCAGGTGATTGAAGATTGGAATGTCACAACACCCCGCGACGACTTGCAGCCCCCAATCACTACCTTTTGGCGCTCCCGCTCACTGCTCATCCCTGCACGAGCTTTACCTTGCCTTAGGCCTCCCGACCTGACCTGACCTGACCTGGAGCTCTGCTGCTGCCATCGATACCCTAGGTTAGTAGCTTAGCTAGCAGTAGGATAGCTGCCGGTCTCACAACTGCCAAGTACCTCGACCTGCGTTGAGTTTGATATTCGCGCTTACACTCGACTTAACCATCTACAGCACCAAATCTTTCTCGGTAACCTGTCTGGGCTCCTTTGGCGCTGCATCTGCGCTAAAAGCTACGCTACTTGCGCCGCCAGGCACGGGTCGTTCCCACCACTTCCCCATTCCTTGCCCCCTCAAGGCCCCAAAGGCTCGTGCCCGTTGGTGGTCTCTGTGGTGGCCTCTGCTGGTGTCTTTTGGGTGCCCTTTCTGGCGTCTCTGTTGACTGTCTCGGCCGTCATCTCGTCCCAGGTGGGGCCCTTTTTTTGTGCCTCCGCCTAGGCGTCACCTGTGCCAATCTAGGTACTGCTCCTCCGTCGTTGCACCACGAGCCTCTCCTCCTTCACTATTTCCATCGCCGCTCGAACCCGCCTCCGACGCCGACGCCGACCTTGTTGCAAACGCCTAGACGCTGGCGCGCACAACTTTGCAGGTGCAGATGTTACTCGTCGCCTGCCACCGTCATACAAGTCGCTTTTCATCCTGAACCGCCATCCTGCTGCTCCTCTCGGTTCTGTCACCTTGAACCACGACCCTGCATCTGAGCACCAACAAGAATTGTCCGCCCATAAAACACCCTGCCCACCACATCTTCTACCATCTTTCGCGAAACCGAGACATTTTGTGTTCTTCTGTCAAAGAGGCGAAGCTTTCAAAAGAAACGGCATTTCTCTCGTTCGTCTTTGCGACAAGCTGTAGCGTTCTTCCAATCAGCACCCCCGCCTTCACCCGACCGCCTACCGCAGCCCGACCAACGTTTCTCGTGACCCGATAGCAAATATGGCAGGGTTATTTCAAAGGGTCTACAATTGGCTCATGCGCATGTTCTGGTAAGTAGCCATAATCGTGGGGTTGCTTCCACAGAAACCGACAGAAACCTCTGGTTCATTTGCGACTCGCTATTCTGCATAGCTGCGACAGCTTTTGAACCCACATGCTGATAATGACCCCAGGGCGATGGAAATGGAAGTGACGATGGTTGGTTTACAAAATGCTGGAAAGACCTCATTATTACGAGTTCTCGCTGTAGGTTCCGACATGTCGTTTTTTGCTTGACCGCTTGTAGCTGACTGTCGCGTTTGTAGGGCGGTGAATTCACTCTCGAGTAAGCGCTTCCCAATACCTGCTCTCGCCATGAATTTCCTCGATCTCGCTGCAGCCCGTCCGGACATTTCAACTGTGTCATTAGGTCCCTAGTGCTAACTCCAGATAATGATAGCTCCATCCCCACCGTTGGCTTCAACATGAAAAAGGTACAGCGTGGACATGTTACCTTGAAGTGTTGGGATATTGGCGGCCAGCCCCGGTTCCGAACCATGTGGGAAAGATATTGTCGAGGCGTGAGCGCCATCGTCTTTATCGTGGATATTGCCGATACACCATTGATTCCCCAGGCGAAGGAAGAGCTCCATGATCTCATGAGCCGCAAGTCGCTTGAGGGTATACCACTTCTCATCCTGGGGAATAAGTCCGATCTTCCGGACAAGCTTTCGGTGGATGAGTTGATTGACGAGCTAGACCTGAAGAGCATACGTGGTCGTGAGGTGTGCTGCTATGGTATCAGCGCGAAAGAAGAGACAAACCTTGACGCAGTAGTCGAGTTTCTAATGAAGTATGCCACGCGACCATAATCAGCGCCATAACTCGCTGGTGTGGTGGCTGTAACACTCGCTTGGGGATGTTTCCAGGCCCTCTGATTCAACAGGTAACAAGTGTCCAAGTCTGTGCTAGTTGTTCCAATAACTGCCAGACAAAGGCCTCGCTTGTTTGCGTCTCGGGCCAACAACAGAGCACAAGACCGGCTTATGACAAGCGAGTGAAAAGACCAAGGGTAAACATATATAAATTCCTCTCTCACGAGCTCATGATTTTTCCAGATATCTGTTGGCCCATAAGCAACTTTTCCCGGGGTTTCGAAGACTTCTTCGCTGTTCTCATGCCGCCATTACCCAGGTCCTGGAAAAACATGACACTTTTCTTTGTTAAGGGACGGAGCATAATCTTGCATGGTGGGAAGAAATCCAGCACTGGCTAGAAAGGAGAAAAGGTCTTTTCCCAAGGAACGCCGTTTTTGTATATGGAATTGGCGCTTGCCATTCCTCACTGTTTCTTTCTCTGTTATTCACTGGGGGCCTCGGCGCTGTTGCCATTGTTGATGGCGCTATTGTTTCTGCCGCTGTTGACGATGATGACGATATGATTCTTGGATGTTGTTTTTCTGCTTGGAACATACTTTGATCGAGTAAAGCATGGACAGTTGTCGGCCACAGCTTGTGTAAGTAACCTGCAAGCGGCTGACTAGAAACGGCTGATGACTGAATGATTATGTCGTTATGAAAATGTTCGTTCAGTTTTTAAGTCTGGTAGTTGATGGGAAGACGCGTGTGTTTATAGACAAGGGAATCAGATCCAGATCCAGATCCGAGTTTGAATGTATAACTGAGTTGTGCTTTGTTTGTCAAGAACATGGCGAGAGATGGACCCTTTCTGAATTGTATCGCTGAAACCTGTGTTGGCTGAAAGGATGTTGAGTGACTTTAATAGACATTGAATGAATTTTCAACATTTGAATGTCTGTTGCAAAGAATCGAATGTCCCAGATGACATGGGCCGAGTTGTCAATGTGAGGCGGAGAAGGTCCAGGTGATGCTTGGGTGTGGATACTTATCAACACCCATTTTCACAGCCAATAGACTTTTTTCAATACGAAAAAAGCCCAACAAATAAACTAGAAGCTGTAGAATGTCGCCGAATAGTAGGCTAAACAGAAAGAATGAAATCTGCAGTTCAAGAAAGTACGAAAGAAAAGAGGTGAGGGAGGGGGTTGTTGATGAGGGAAACTCTAGGAGGCTACACACGGACCACTTGATGCGTTGGCCAACTCATCGCTGCAGTTGACAAGCGCCGCACGCCAGTTTTGCAGTGGCTCATCGCCCTGTCAATCCCGCCTCGCATCACGCAGCGCATCGCGTTCCCGCACGCACCCACACCCCGGCCGAGCGAACGAACTGGTGAGGATCTGAGGTGCGGCAGGGAAGGATATCGTGGGTGCCTCTGACTGGGTGTCGTCGTTTTCTTGAACGGCCAGGTGCTTCCGATGAACGGGTCTCTTTCCTAGATGGTCGCTTCCATTTCTCTAGGCCTTGTAGGTGTGAGTTATATCCGAGGGGTGTCTATTCCTTGTGAGGTGAGCACAGTATTGTTTGTTTCTAAGTCGGAGTGATCCATCGTGCTGCAGCTCATTCCTCAAGAGATTGTTGTTGATAGGCGAGGAAGCATGGACCGCCCATACAAATAGAACAAATAGGGAAAAAGCTAGGTTTGGAAGAAGCCTGAGCCACACTGAGCTTTGATAATTTGAGCAGGACGAGCGATTGCGATGAGGTCATGCTGCACACTCGGACAGCCCTCGGGAGCTCCGATCAGGCGGGGACGGCGGTGAACGGAGGCGGAGCGGAGGACTATCGGTACGGGGGTGGAGACGGACTGGTAAAATGGTTCGACAAACAGCGCAACTGCACGTCCTATAAAATGTCAGTGAGCTTCAATGGATAGAAGTGTGATGTATATTGGCATATGGTTCGAATAAAAGTAGAAATGGAGATAAGGATAAATTCTCGTGTGGGAAAGGGTCGAAATTATTACTTCCTCGTACGGAAATGAATTGGAATTCGAGGTTTGGAAAAAGGTGGACTCGGGCTTCTAATTGGAGCACCGTCAATGACTGTGAGCGAATCGAACGTCTTGCGCTAGACGATGGCTTTTCTGCAAATGGACATCCCTCACACGGCTCATGTTCCGAATGACTTTTGAACCCCTGATACGACTGACGCTGGGATGCTTATTGGGAGCTGACACTGAGGCTATCGTGACTGGGCCACCTGGTAATCCAAGAGCTGAAGAGTTGCGGAGAAAGTGACCCTAAGTGATGAGTATCAGCTAGCGATTGGATCGCGATGTGACTCAATCACCGCTTAGACAAGAGCTGAGCTCAGAAGCTGGAGGTTGATGTTGCTGATTGAGAGATGTGATGGTGGAGAGAAGTTGCCCAAGGGTGGATTCTCGATATGGATGCCTGACTTACCGTTAGCTGGGCAAGTCCAGTGAAATGGGCTAGGTCTAGGAAGAAGGTTGTTGCCGTCAGAGGGCCACTGTTTTCGGCACATTCCTGCCTCCTCCCTTTGAATATTGTACGAATGTGACTCCTTCCCTTCAGAGGAGGATATTAAATCGACCAAGATACACTCCAAATTGAAGTCATGACAATATCGAACAATACCTATCTGGTCAACAATGAAGTATTCATGTGCACGAATGTCGAAGACACTTGTGAATATTCCGTACCGAGGCGCAGTTACTCCAAAGTTGAGGCTTGGAAGTCGCTGGAGGCTGAAACACTTCATTATTCAAGGGGTATCTCGATTCTCATAACTAACTACATCTAGAAACCATGAACCAAACCAATCCGTGCCCAATACATTTCTCATGATCATCCGTCACAAAAGAGAAGTTCATGGGTAATCGCTAAACCCCGCTGTCTTGCCACTTCGATCCAACATATATCGAAATCTCTCCCGATCCTCAAGCAGACAAGTTGGAAGATCGGCATTATTGTCTATTCGAGTGAAGGTGTTCTCTTTACGTCCCCATAGGTCAACGCCATCACGTATCGCACTTGCGATACGATCTCGATCGCGGAAGGACTTGTGGTTCATCCACGCATGCGAGAAACTTGCCATTTTGTTCAGGAATTGATCTATTGTCGAAAAGCACGAACTGCAGTGCCAACCGGCATTGGCCAATGTTCCCTTTTCCAAGTCCCTCAGCAGAGGAATTCCTGCATCACCAGTTCGCAAATTTCCAGGAAGAATGGTATTGTGCATGCCTTGGTAATAGGTCGCCTGTGGAAATGGCCACTCGGGCCCATCGTGAAGGAATTGGAAGGAATAATAGTAAAACTTGGACGAGAGTGTCAGACGACGAGGGAAGTTGCATGTTCGAAGGACCAGCATCGTTGCTGGGCGCAGAATCTCGTCGACATCGGCAACCAGAATGACATCGCCTTGAGTTGGGGTTTGCTCGCCAGCGAGCTTTGGGAAGACTTGATCGAACATAGCATTCCGCTGTAAGTCTTCTCGATCCCAGTGGCGCAAGGGCTTGAAGCCTTTCGGATACTCGAGTTTATGGTATATCATTTTGTCGTGGTATGGCTCAAAGCGTTTCCAGTTGTTGCGGATGACAAGATCCTTGGGGCCACCCTGAAAGGTAAGTGGTGCCTCAACGACAACAAAATAATCGACATAATTGTACAGGGTCTTTAGTCGAATCTCGAGAAAGTCCAGCTCTGTATTGACCATGAAGAGGTCGTAAATCTTGCGACGACCGTTTGGCGCATCGGGATGAGGTTTGAAGACGGTGTAACCATGTGAGGCGCATAACGAGCGAGCGACATCTGATGCGTAATATTCGTGATGCGGCCTTGAAAAGTTAAGTCGCGGAAGTGAGAGAGAAACGCCGATATCTGTATCAGTAATGCGATGAATGTGTGAGCGATCGAAGAACGGTTGCTTAGATAGAAGCACGACCACACAGACGAGGGGTATCAACGAGAGGAACACACGGTAAGGCACGCGAGAAGCCATAATGATTAATTTTCGCACATCAGGAGAAATGAGAGAATAAGAAGAAGAGTGTTAGTGCAACAGGGCTACTATAACGTGGTAGCAGTGACATATGTCTAATAACATAAGGCCGCATGAGGGAGCGATAAATCGGTAAACACGGCATCTTGTCCCCAGAAGAATTCGAGAATCAGCCCGCTAATACGTTGATCTTAGACTAAGGCACGCCCTCAGCCTCAGGATGAAGGGATGGTCAGACCGTTACACGAGTTTCTTCCAATACTACGTACGCAGGGCGTTGCTTCATTGGTTAGAATGGCCTGTTCCTGTCAGACTATGAAGCCGGCAATCTAACAAGCGTCGGCAGCTGAAGTCACTGATAAGCACCGACGCCATGTAATATAAAACGTGTTTGAGGCTTGCTTAATCTAGTTTGATATTGATATTCTCTCAGGGCTGATAACGATGAACGAGCTGACGCAATTTCATACCTACTTTTTGATTTCCCACGTGAAGATAATCGTAGTTCGTATAGCATTGAGGCCCGCTATTCCTCTCATCCTAATGACGATCAAACAATGCAAAAGACACTAAATTGTCAAACCTAGTCGATGGCCTCATATACCATGCATCTATAAGCATAACTAGAGATTTTGTAAAGAAGCTTCTGTTTAGACATATGAAACGGGCATAGAAACCGTTTGATGGCGGTAGACTCTTGAGGTTTAGTGCTGTTGCGGGGGACAAGAGGCTCCATTTATCGATTGATATCGCTTCCGGAGCCGAGACGGGGGCGGCATCGGCTCTTTCGACGGCCAAGACTCGGTGTTCCCCTCATTATCGACACGTTTTTGTGGAGGTTGTACCCCGTTCTACGCCCTGTAATAATAACTGACTTTATTGTTCCGTTCTGCGGAGATTGAGACTCTTGAGTCTAATTCGCTCTTCTATCATGATGAGTCGTTCATCTCGACTTATCGTATCCTCGGCAATTCGTAACTTGTCAAACTATCCTCTCCGGCCTCTATCGACATCTTTAACAACACGCTCAATTGTCTCTACACAACGGACTTTTACCTGTTCATCTATCAAAATGGGAGACGCTATCTCAGAGAAGCCTCATAATGCCTGGCTCGGTGCCAAAGGGCCTGCAGCTCTTGACCTCCGCAGTATGTAACTCACATCAGTTGAGCATGTTAAAACTCTAATACTTATTGATACAGGTGATGTTGTGACAACACCGACACCAGCTATGTTGGAAGCTGTCAAATCATGCTCCTTACTTGACGATGTCTTCCAGGAGGACCCTGCTACGAACGACCTTGAAGCCTATGTCGCAGAACGCACTGGAAAGGAAGCCGGCCTTTTTGTCCTCTCAGGAACAATGGGAAACCAACTCGCTCTTCGATCTCTTCTCACACAGCCTCCCTACTCGGTTCTGTGCGATTACCGCGCTCACATTTTCACCGCTGAAGCAGGCGGGTAAGTACTCCCAAGTCAGTCATGAGCTTATTTTGCTGAGAATTTTGTAGCACTTCAAACCTCACAGGGGCTCAGATTCAGACTGTTATCCCCAAGAATGGCAGATACATGACACTTGAAGAGATCCAAGAGAATGTGACCCTGGACGACGATGTCCATGGTTGCCCTACTCGTGTCATCAGTTTGGAGAACACTCTTCACGGCATGGTGATGCCCCTCAGTGAAGTGAAGCGAATCGCCGAGTTCGCTAGGGAGCACGGCATTAAATTACACTTGGACGGTGCACGACTATGGGAAGCAGTCGTCTCTGAAGCAGGCTCGCTGATCGAATACTGCTCTTACTTTGACACCATCAGTCTATGCCTCTCCAAGGGACTCGGTGCCCCAGCAGGAAGTGTTATCGTTGGCACCAAAGCCACATTGAAGCACGCCCGCTGGGTCCGAAAGTCCATCGGCGGTGGTCTACGACAATCCGGCGTTCTCACCTCTGCAGGCCGCATTGCTATCGAGCAGACCTTTGGAAAATCACCCAACGGCCAAGATGGACCTCTCAAGGCGTCTCACGAGATGGCACGCAAGGTCGACGACCTCTGGACGACCATGGGTGGCACGATTGATGAGCCAACAGAGACTAACATGGTGTGGTTGAACCTCAAGGCGACAGGATGCAGTGAGAAGCGGTTCATTGAGATTGGTGCAGAAGCTGGGCTCAAGTTCATGTGTAACCGGTTGGTGACGCACTATCAGGTTGCGCAGAATGAGGAGGAAGTTCTAAGACGGTTGAAGATTGTGTTTGAAAAGGTTCTAGGTGAGAGCGGAGATTCGAGTGCCCAGGAAAAGATTGGAAAGGGCAGTGTATATGTGCCTCAATAGATTAAAGGATACGCAGGATTGACGATCTAGAACTTGCCCTTTCGGTCCTACTACTTACACATATTAGTGAATTACAGTGAGATGTTTCAGCCATCGAAAGATTTTATAGTAGACTTGTCCATATAAGGCTGCTCTTTAAAGCTGTCTCCACGATTAAGGTAAGATGTTGACCGGCAGTTCTTGGTGTTAGTCACTAACGGTCTTGTCTCGGTCAGTTTCTTATGATCAGAGCCAGGACCAGGATCATGATCGACGGCCTTGCGCAAACTATATTGACATCTCAGAACTATTCAGGCAGGTGTCAAGATGTTTGACGGGATTGCCGAGACTGAAAGCTGACGATTCGCTCCGTCACCAGCCTCAACAAACATGGAAAATTAGTCATGAAAATGCGTATCTGTCGGTCCTATTACACCGAGAGTCAGTACTCGAGGTTTACCGTTTGCTAATTCTTCTTCTCAACGGGCGAGCCAAGAACGCCGCTGACACTTCTGTTGGACACTTACTCGAATTGTTAATTCCGCGCCCTGCGGCAACGTTTATTCCCAATGTTTGAGACCTGGGACTTGGATTCTTGACGTCACTGACCAATCGGTCAAATAAAGCTGCAGGCAGCGTGTAAATGGTGCCGAAGCTAAGAGGGGAGAGTGCGGGGAATAGAGCAGAAACAAGGATTAGATGCAAGACGTTTCTCCACGTTTGGGTTTGTTTATTTCTATGGCGTCTGGGGTGTAGAGAATATCACGTCACAGAGAGAACATGACTGATTTGTATTCAATTACTATAAACCCATAGTGGAAGCAATAATTGATTAGTGGACAGTTCAATTGAACATGATATCAGTGAGTAGAGCTCTGGTTAGGTCATTTATCTTGGCTATCATGATGTAAGTTGGACTCAAGCCCCTTGGCAAACAAACGCTAATATACAATACCATGAACCTTGAAAAAAGAGAGCAAGACAAGCCAAGTGGAGGTGTCGAGTAAAGAAAAATGCGGAAAATTGGGCAATGATCGCCAAGCTGAGCTCTTTCTTTGCTTTAGTAACCCCGGGCTTCCATCTTCCATTCCATTCTTGGCTGACAGCCTAAATGTTAGCAACTAAACAACCCATGACAAGTTCAAATCCTGTTCATGTTCTCTAAATATCATGTCATGATTCTTCTTGGCTTTGCCGAGTCACAGGCTTTGTGCCTTCAAACTATATATATGTACTCTCTTTCATCCCCTCTCCTCCTTTTGAGTATCATCCTGCATCTTTACTACTCAATTGGCAATTGTCAGTAGCTTTATCTTGGAGGAAGTAATCCCTGATGCCGTCTCCACGACATATCGCTGCGGCTTTGGCTGCGTCAGCGACAACCGTATCTGCTCTTTATGTGAATGGCACAGTCGTTGCACCTTGCGACTCGCCAATTTACTGCCATGGAGAAATTCTCGAGCAGGTTGAGCTTGCCCAACCTTTCAGTGACTCCAAGACCTTTGTTGATATGTAAGTCATCACCCAATCTCACCATTATAATCATGGCAGATACTAATTCCTCTCAAGGCCAGCTATTCGCCCTCTGAGTGAAATTCAGGATGCTTTCGACAAGCTAGACAAGCCGCTACGTAACAATTCGGCTCTCACGGGGTTTCTCAAGGACAACTTTGCCGATGCTGGTAATGAACTTGAGGAAGTCCCGGAAGATGAGCTTGAAACAGATCCCAAGTTCCTCGACAAGATCAACAACACTGCCATCAAGGAATTCACACAAAAGGTCATTGATATTTGGCCTGATCTTACTCGTCGCTACGATCAAGATTCCAAGAACTGCAGCGATTGCCCTAACAGTTTCATCCCTGTCAACCGATCCTTCGTCGTTGCTGGTGGTCGTTTCCGTGAGCCTTATTACTGGGACTCTTACTGGATCATCGAGGGTCTCCTCCGGACTGGTGGCTCTTTCATCAACATTGCAAGGAACACTATCGAGAACTTCCTAGATTTTATTGAGGAGTACGGCTTCGTCCCCAATGGCGCTCGTATTTACTACCTCAACCGATCTCAGCCCCCTCTGCTGTCTCAGATGATCAAGGCTTATATCGAGCACACCAACGATACCGATATTCTTGAGCGTGCCCTGCCTTTGCTTGTGCAGGAGCATGAGTTCTTCATGAATAATCGTTCAGTTCCGGTCTACATTAACAATGAGACTTACTACCTCAACACGTACGGACGCCAATTCTTGTGCTTAGTTTGCGACTAACATGACCTGCAGATACAATGTTTCCAACACTCGACCACGACCCGAGTCGTACCGCGAAGACTACGTTACTGCAAACAACGAGTCGTACTACTCACCATCCGGTGAGGTGTACAGCGGCGGCGAGGAACTCAACTTCAAGACGAAGGAAGCGTTATACGGAAATCTCGCCAGTGGTGCTGAAAGTGGCCTCGACTATTCAGGTACGTTCACAAACTTCATCAGAATTGAAACTTCGGTCTAACCATCGCGCAGTTAAGTGGGTAGCCAGACCTGATGATGCTATTCGTGACAACTACTTCCCTCTCCGATACCTCAACACCAGGAACATCATTCCTGTTGACCTCAACTCGATCTTGTACGGAAATGAGATCGCCATTGCCGAGTTTTATGAGCAGACAGGCAACAGCAGTGCCAGCCGTCAATGGCGTGAGGTCGCTGCCAATCGCAGCTTTGCCATGCACGCTTTCATGTGGAACGAGACCCATTGGAGCTACTTCGACTACAACTTGACTTCCAAGGCACAGTCAATCTTTTATCCGACCGACAACAGCACTGCTGAGATTGATAAGGAGAATGCCCCCAAGGGAAAGCAGGTCTTCTTCAGTCCTACCCAGTTCTACCCCTTCTGGCTGGGTGCTGCCCCCGACTATCTCAAGAACAACCCATATGCCGTCCTCAATGCTTACAAGCGTGTCTCGTACTACCTGGATACCCGCCAGGGTGGTATTCCTGCAAGTAATGTCGAGTCAGGACAGCAGTGGGATCAGCCTAATGTCTGGCCTCCGCTGATGCACATCCTCATGTCAGGGCTTGAAAAGGTCCCTGCGACATTTGGCATCATGGATCCTTCTTTCATCGAGGTCCGTAGATTGGCTCTTCGTCTCGCACAGCGATATCTGGACTCAACATTCTGCACTTGGCGCGCAACTGGTGGAACAACTTCGGATTTGCCTAGAATCCAGTCAGCAGCTGAAGGAGCTGATGGCATCATGTTTGAGAAGTACGCCGACAACGCTACCAACGTCGCAGGAGGCGGTGGTGAGTACGAAGTCGTTGAGGGCTTCGGCTGGACCAACGGTGTTCTCATCTGGGCTGTTGATGAGTTTGGCAACAGACTGAAGCAGCCCCAGTGTAACTTCACTGGGGATTCTTCCAATGAGCGCCGTGACACCAACAGTGCTGTCATGCTGCATGCCCGCGATGCTGCTCGTGTCAAGAAGTTTGGCAGCAGAAAGAGGGCCGCTGAGAAGGCTGCCCATAAGAGGTCGAGCCGTCTGTTTCACTTCTAAGCCCTGATGGTTAATAATGATTTGTAAGAAAGAAGAGTATATATTATATTAGTATGACTATACTTGATAGCGCCTATAATTGTATAGTATATTCAGAAGTTCGTATGTTTTTGACATGTAATGATGACGGCCTTCCCCGAAGTCACGGCCCCACTCCCGGTCCGGACATACCGCCGGCACCGTCATCGTATAGGCCGTATTAAAATCGAAGAGACAATACCAAGTGATGATATGACCGAAAAGGTAAGTATGAAAGCCTTATGAGGCAGGACGTCATCACGTGTACCTAAGCTGAACAGCACAGCCACCGAACGTGGATTAAACGAGGCGATGAAGTTGACCACTAAGAAGTCGATCTAAGCTATAGGGCCAGCAAATGAGATCTTGAGACATTCCAGCTCAAGCCACTGGGCGACAGATACGATGAATGCGAGAATTGCGTGTGGGGTGATGGGCGGTTAGATCGGCATCACCACATCGGTTGGGCGTTATTTGGCTTTCAGCCTTGGATATGGGATCGGGGATGAGGTGTTTATGGGAGTATAAAGATGGAGTAGGTTCCCTGGTTTTGTATGAAGGATTACATGACATCAGACAAGATCGTATTCTCAATTACCTATCTACTGAAATACACCTTTTCGAAGTACTGCTATCATCTACACTTATCAGATTTGTGTCACATCGTCAAGATGGTTGGTTTTGGATCAGCAAAGGATCAGAAGAAGAACCATGAGGAGGTCGCTGATATTCCCGCGCACTTGTCCGATTTGCACTGCGTGAGTATTCTCTCATATTTCTGCTGAATAATTCCATGCAATCTTACTTACACACTACAGTTCACCGAAACAGACAACTGTATAACTACAAGTCGGTCATCGTCCCCAATTCTACCAACTCCACTAACTAACACATCGCAGCAATGATGGACCTCCCCGGCTATCGCATCACCAAAGTTCTCGGCGCAGTCTACGGCATTACAGTACGCTCACGAAACATCGCCGCAGGAATCGGCATGGTTATAAAGAGCATGGCAGGCGGCGAACTAACCTGGTTTACCTCGATGCTGTACTCTTGTCGCAACGATTCTATCAGCAGGGTTGTTCAAGAGACGAAGCGAAGAGGGGGTAATGCTATTATTTGCTTGCGCTTCGAGACTGGAGATTTGGGAGGTTTTGCACAGGCGAGTGCGTATGGGACTGCTTGTGTGGTTGAGAAGATTGAGGGTTCCAACGTTGAGGCGCCTCAGTTGACGCATTAGAGTTTGGTGTGTAAGTTGTGAGCCTGGCAGGATACCCTTTATGATATGCTTTAGCAGTATTGCTATTCTTCTATTTCAATAATGTCACTTCTATTAATTTGAATCTTCCTTCCACCTCTTATTACTTAACGGATGCTTGTCCATTTGTCATAGTCCAATCCGAATACCCCGGATTCATCAAACCCCGGGCCGCATGACGAGTGGGGCGCATCCGGGGTTCGGAGGCCGGGGGATGATGATGCGCCGGACTGAGTATCGTATCGAAGCAGTTGAAGCATGATACAGAGTTACATCTAATATCATACAATTGGTAAATGATTATATGAGGACAGATTGATCGAAACAAACTGTCAATGTGAAACTGACAGATCGCCAGCTTACGTCATCAGAAGCTTTGCCCGATGCGACAAGTCGGCACGAGCTTAGACATCCCCTCGCGTTAGTCTCTATTGACAACCAAATACAGTCCCAATCGACGCCTCATTTCTTTCTTTTCTTTCATCCACAAGCACTTGCCGATTCGTTGTTTGCCTCTTACTAGCCTATCGTTATTCAATTCAATCCCCGACGCTCGCTTCCGCGCGCACCGCAACATGCGCCAGCACCAATAAACTCGCGTAACACAACCACCAGCACCAACACGATATACAACGGGGGACACCCTCCTCTAATAATGACTTCAAATATGTCCCTGTCAACTCCCGCGAGTGGCCGTCGATACTCGGACGATTCTATCTCTTCGGCTTCAACGACAAGTCTTGTGTTCGATAGGATACAAGAGAAGACAATGATGGACGCTTCAAGAGATAACAACGATTCTCGAGCTCTCGAGGACGATGATCCCCTCAAGGAAGAGGATGACCTAGAGACGGGTCCTTTCCTCGGCCCTGGAGCTTTGCTGCATCGTGAGCCCATGGATAGAGGATTGCGACGCATTCTCATCATTGTCGGCTCTGTCTTTGTCGCAGCTTGGCTTATCGGTCTCGGCACATTCCTCTACTTTGGCTCATATCATCACGAGAGCGATACCGAGCACGATCCTGATGCTGCCACGCGAGGCTCAGGAAAGGCCGTTACAATGGATCAGCTCTTCAGTGGCTTCTGGCAGGCCAAGTCACACAGTATCAGCTGGATTGGTGGTCCCGATGGAGAGGATGGTTTATTGCTTGAGGTTGGAGCTAGCGAGAAGCCATATATCGTCGTAGAGGATATTCGCAGCGATAAGGAGACCAGGTCACCCATCGATACAGAAGTCAAGGCCTCCAAGTCACGAACATTGATGAAGGACAACTTCTTTGTTTACGAAGGAAACCAATACTCTCCCGAATGGAATGAACCTAGCCCCGATCTGAAGAAGGTCCTTCTCGGTGTCGAAAAGAAGAAGAACTGGCGTCACTCTTTCAGCGCCATCTACTTCATCCTCGATGTCGAGACTCAAGAAGCTGAACCGCTCGTCCCTGGCAAACCTGACGCTCGAATTCAGCTTGCTACATGGAGCCCCAAGAGCGACGCCGTGTCATACACTCAAGACAACAACTTGTATATCCGAAAGTTGGCCGATAAGAAGAATGTCGTCAAAATTACCAAGGATGGTGGCCCAGAGTACTTCTACGGTATTCCCGACTGGGTCTACGAGGAAGAGGTCTTTGGCGGCCGCAGCGCTACATGGTGGTCTGACGATGGCAAGTACTTGGCCTTCCTTCGCACAAACGAAACCGGTGTTCCCGAGTTTCCCGTCCAGTTCTTCATCAAGCGACCGAGTGGTACAGACCCTGAGGAGGGCGAGGAGGCGTATCCTGAAGTTGAGCAGATCAAGTATCCTAAGGCTGGTGCGCACAACCCAGTTGTGGATCTGCTCTTCTACGACGTGTTGAAGAAGGATGTTTTCTCAGTTGATATCGATGGCGCATTTGCAGATGATGATCGCATCATCAACAATCTTCTCTGGGCGGGTGGCAAGGCTCTCGTCAAGGAGACCAACCGTGTCAGTGATGTTCTCAAGGTCGTCTTGATCGATGTTGGTTCTCGCAAGGGCAAGACTGTTAACACTATCGATGTTGATAAGATTGACGGTGGTTGGTTCGAGATCTCCCACAAGACAGCTTTCATCCCTGCCGATCCTGAGAATGGTCGCGATCACGATGGATACGTTGACTCTTATCTGCACGAGGGCTATGATCACCTGGCTTACTTCACTCCTCTCGACAACCCCGAGCCTATCATGCTCACCAAGGGCAAATGGGAAATCGACGATGCTCCTTCAGCGATCGATCTTGCCAACAACTTGGTCTACTTCATTGCCGCCAAGGAATCATCTATTCAGCGCCACGTCTACTCTGTCAAGCTTGACGGTACCTCTCTCGAAGCTCTGACTGACCCAGAGACCGAGGCTTACTACGATGCTTCCTTTTCAAAGGGTGCTGGCTTCGTCCTCCTATCATACCGCGGACCCAAGGTTCCCAACCAGAAAGTCATCTCCACACCTTCGAGCGTCTTCACCTACGAGCGTGTCGTCGAGGACAACTCCGAGCTAGCCGAGCGTGCCCGCCGCCACGAGCTTCCTGTTATGCAATACGGCACCCTCGATCTTGGTGATGGCGTTGAGGTCAACTACGTTGAAAGACGTCCCCCTCACTTCGACCCTAAGAAGGAGTACCCTGTCCTCTTTCAGCAATACTCCGGTCCAGGATCTCAGTCTGTTACCAAGAGATTCTCAGTTGACTTCCAAGCCTACGTCGCTTCGGCCCTTGGCTACTTGGTTGTCACCGTCGACCCTCGAGGCACAGGTTTCCTTGGCCGCAAGCATCGTGTTGTAGTCCGCTCTCAACTCGGCGTCCTGGAGTCCCAAGATCACATCGCCGCTGCCAAATCCTTCGCTTCCCGCCCATACGTCGACGCCGATCGTCTAGCAATTTGGGGCTGGTCTTATGGCGGCTTCACCACCCTCAAGACACTTGAGCAAGACGCCGGACGCACATTCAGCTATGGCATGGCTGTCGCTCCTGTCACCGACTGGCGCTTCTACGACAGTATCTACACCGAACGTTACATGCGTACACCACAAGAGAACGCCGACGGCTATGACATGTCTATGATCGCCAATGCCACAGCTCTCGGCAGCAACAAACGTTTCCTTCTCATGCACGGTGTTGCCGACGACAATGTCCACTTTCAGAACTCGCTCACACTTCTTGATGAGCTTGACCTGGCAGGTGTAGAGAACTATGATGTTCATGTTTTCCCTGATAGCGACCACAGCATCTTCTTCCATAACGGAAACCGCATCGTATATGATAGTAAGTTACTCCATTTTGACACAGTAAACTCGGGCTGACAATGGCTTCTAGAACTTCGCAATTGGCTTATCAACGCCTTTAATGGCGAGTGGCTCAAGATCTCTGACCCCAAGCCTCACAAGGATGGTGTCGAGAAGGAGAAGCGTGAGATTGATGCAGTGTCTTTGGTTTAGAATAGCATTTTGTAACAATAGTTCTTTTCGAATGCGTCTGGATTGCATTATGGCAGATTAACAGTATCATCATGGCGTGTCACGGCGTTGCATCAGAGACAAGATAACAAAGACAAATCAATGTACTATCATACAACATACAGCAGCCCGACAGAATACATGCGTCTGACTGCGAAATTTAGTATCAAAACTTCGTCCTCCAGTCTACCACCAAAGTCCTTGAGTGTCAATCGCTCTCAAACCCTTCCTTCCAACGCCCCCTCGCGCAACTCGCGGGAGAAGCAAAATATGATTACAGGATTTGAAATCCTCGCCAATAGACTATCCTTTTTTGACATCCGTAAGCGGGAATGAATCCACTTTGAATAAATTCTCCTGCCCATGAAGATACTGATTATGCGCTACCGATCGTGGGATATGATAATAGGGAAGGGAACGCCACATCGGTACCGGTACCTGCATCTAGAAACCGTAGCCGGTGGGCTGCGGCGCGAAGCCGTTTGCTTGGCCATAGGGTGCAGGCGAGGGTGAAGAGCCCATGCCACCAGGTCCAGCTGTGATCATGAGTCTAGAAGCGCCGAGGATTGGTGTGTTGTCATCGGTCTTCTCCTTCTCTTGCTCCTTTGCCTTGCGGGCCTCGTTGTCTGCCTTCAGAATGGCGAGGTCCTTCGTTTGCTGGGCAAGCATGTTGATCATGTAAGGCATAGAGAAGTCCATGAGGCCATGGCGCCACGAGAGCTCCAGAACGAGGTCAGGGCGGATGAGTTCGTAGCAGGCGTACAACATGCCGGTGTAGCATTCGCGGTGGCCAATGTCGACAAACTACAGCTGTTAGTCGATTGAAGATTTCAGGGTCTCGAGTGGTACTTACATATTGAAGGAGGTCGCTGACAATCTCGGTCTTGGCAGAGAGAGCAGCGGTCTCGATGGCGTCCTTGTACAGCTTGTCCTGCTTAGACAGGGCAATAGACTTCTCCCATCGCTTGTTCTTGCGGTAGATGGAAGCAGCAATCTGGCGGAAGAAGATGAGATCATGCTTCTCCAGACGGCTGGCCAGCTCAGTAGCATCGTAGTTGTCATAGTTCTGAACTGAGTCACGTAAGGTCTTGTAATCCTCCTCCTCGATGAGCAGATCGTTGACAGCCTCGTTCACTACACGCTTGTTCTGAGTTTGCACGTTGAGCAAGAAAGGCTTGATGAGAGGAAGGTCATCGTTCTTCTGGAAGATCTTGACGACGCGGTTAACGTCGATGCGAGGGGTAAGGGTCGCAAGAAGATCGGTAATGAGTGAAGGGTGTTGCTCAACATAGAACTTGATAGCACGGTAGTAGATCTCTAAGTTGGCGACCTTGACCACGATCTCCTTGAACTGCTGGTGATCCCAGGAGTTCTCGGGTCGCTCGATGACGGCAAGAGCAGCGTTGTCAAATTCGTCATAGTGGTAGTAGCAGAAGACCAGCTCAGGCCAGAGGTTTGCCTCCTCGCAGGCCTTAATCATCTTGGGGAGATTCATGCGAGACCAGAAGATCTTGATGTGCTCCATGAGGCGGTCGGGGTGGTACTTGGAGAGGGCGATACCAAGCTCAGTGAACATTCCCATGTGGGCACGCTCAAGGCCAAGACCTTGCTCGAGAAGGCTAATAAGCTCATCAAAGTAACCGTTGCGCTCGTACTCCTTGACTAGGGTCTGGAGTTGCTCAGCATCAACAATCAAGTTGAGACCACAAATCTGGGCAAGTCGGAATTCTTTCTTCTGCACACAGGCCTCGTGAACCTGCTTCCACACCTTGATGTTGTTGGCCTTGCGGGCACACTCAACGGCGGCTTGGTAGTC